TTCTTCTTGCCAAGGAGCCCGAAGGCGTTGCTAAGGGAGTATTGCCGCTTGTCGATGTCCGTATCATAGGACGGCAATTCGATGGTACGCGCAGCAACGAAGTCCAATGCAAACTCCGAGAGCAAGTGGAATTCGCCCACCGCGAACTCGCCAGCTTCAGGAGGAGGAGGAAGGAGTAGAAGGAGGAGGAGGAGGAGGAGGAGGAGGAGGAGGAGACGGAGGAAGAGGGGAGATAGAAAATGATAGAGAGAGGGGGGGGAAAGAGAGAGAGAGGAGGATGAGGACAGAAGGAGCAGGAGGAAGAGCCGGAGGACAAGCAAGAGGAGGAGGAGGAGGAGGAGGAGGAGGAGGAGGAGGAGGAGGAGGAGGAGGGCCCTCCCGCGCGCGCGGTCCCGCGGCGCAAAGTGGCGCATGCCCCTGGGGCGGCCGCAGGCGCTGCTGTCCTGGCACTCGCCTGCGGGCGGGTAAGTGGGGCCCGCTGCTGCGAGAGAGGGGCGGGATGATTAGGAGGGCATGGAGGAAGGGAGCGCATTGCCACGAGATAGGTCAGACAGGGTCCGCAAAGGGAAAACCAGGGTGTGGCCATCGAAGAAGACCTGCCTGCACCACTGTGGTGGGCGGGGGAGAGGGGGGGGGCGCACTCCGGTGGGCCAGCGAGAAGCCTCACCCCGACAGAAGACGTGCACCGGAAGGGAAGCACAGAGACATACTATTACTATATGTCCTCCTTGGAGGCGAGCGTCCGACCCGAACATATAGTATACCCATCTTGTAGTATATCGTTTCTCGAGCGGTGTGGCCAGAAAGCGCCCACCACGACGCATATACTACAAGATTTCTCGGTGCGCGCGTCGCCCCTGGGGGGGCGACGAACACATAGTATAAGTATGTTGGGGGGATGCCGAGCTGCAAGCGGCGTCGGGCTCCCCGTCCGACCACCACCATGCCCTTCCTGAGGGCCGCCGTGCAGCCGTCGCTCGTCCGGCACAGGGTCGGCCTGGGTGGCAGGGCGTGGACCGCAAGAGCCGCTGGGCTCGCCTGCCCGTCACCCGCTTGGCCCGCCATGGCCCGCTACAGTCAAAACGATGTCAGAAGGAACCGAAAAACGAGGAACGATGCCCCGCTCCAGAAGTTAAACTTCGCTGTCCCATAGAAACTCAAGGAAACCTGAGGAAAGCTGTTAAACAGGTAAGGAACACTGAACCCCTCACCGACGAACCGGGTTCCTTCTTCAGCGGCCCGACTGTACATCCCCTCCTCACGTTCTCCCCCCTCCTTGGGGCGCGCCTGGCGCCAGCGGCGGCGGCCGTCGTCTGCGCGCCGGCTCTGGATCGGAGGGAATCACCTCCTCGGGGGTCAGGGGAACTCGCCCGTTCCAAGCGCACCGCTTCGAATCGGTACCTCGTCGTCGTCGTCGTCGCCGTCGTCGTCGTCGTTCAATCATTACACGGATGTAGGGCGGCTCCTTTTCAACATGGGAATATCACTAGAGACTTCGCTTGGTATGATGGCCAAGAATCAAAAGTCCAAAATCGCGCAACAATTGCACGAAAGGAGGGCGGCTCATTTTGACAGCGGGGCTAGGGACTTCCCTACACTTTGGAAGGAGATCACCCCGGAAGGCGTGGGGAGAAAGTCTATCAGTTTGAATTCAATGCACATTATTTGTATGTGTGTTGTGTTTTAGTGCATTCGAGCCCTCGCGTGTCCGAGGATTGAAAGTGCATAAACATCAAAACAAATATTCAGACAATTATCCGCGCCCGATCTCCTGGGAACTCCGGGACAAGGCTCCTCCAGGGAGATCGGAGGCGTTCCTCACTCCTTCTCCCCCTCCTCCTCCTTGACCTCCTCCTCCTCCTCCTCCTCCTCTCCCCCGTACTCTCGCACCCCCCCCTCGCCCCTCCCCAAGAGTGCAAATACCCATGGGAGGACTCCTATGGCAGACAATGGTAAGCAGACCCCATTCGGGCGGACCCTTCTTGAAGGACCCCTTGTGAGCGGACCCTCATGGGAGGACCCCTGTGGCAGACCCTGATGGTCGGACCCCGATAAGTGGACCCTTATGGGCGGACCCCTTTGGGCTAACGATTCTGGGCTTTGCAAAACAGAGGCGCATCACATAGCCTGTGTGCACACAAGCATTTATAATGGTCTGTGCTCGCAAGCGCTCGTGCCTTCCCCTTCCTCCTCATCCTTCTCCTCCTCCTCCTCCTCCTCCTCCTCCTCCTCATCCTCCTCGTCATTATCACAATCACCACCACCATCATCACTATCATCATCGTCATCATCATCATCATCAACATCATCATCATCATCATCATCATCATCATCATCATCATCATCATCATCATCATCATCATCATCATCATCATCATCATCATCATCATCAATCATCATCACCACCATCATCATCATCATATAAATAATCATGTTCATAGTCATCGTCATCTTCGTCATCTTCATCATCAGTATCATCACCAATATCATCAACGTCATCATCATCATAATCATCATCATCATCATCATCAGCGTCATCATCATCATCATCATCATCATCATCATCATCATCATCATCGTCGTCATCACCATCATCACCAACAACATAAGAAACACAAGCATAACCGTAATCAAAATCACCACAAGCATCAATGTCCTTCCAAAGCCTGGATACACGAGGCGTAGCACGTGGCGGCCTCCCGCACCGCCTCAAACACTCGCTGACCCAGAATGCTGGGCTGGCACTGGCATTTATGGCGCGACCTGCCGCAAGCACCTGGCCATGAAAACTGAGAACCAATGACCGAACTGCTGGAGGCGTTCGTCGGCGTTCTACCTTTTTCCCTGCGGCAGCGGGCTGCGCCAGCCAGCCGCGTGGCCCCCAGCGGACCCCGCCGCCGCTGCCGACCTCTGCACCTCGACGCGAGGCTCCTCTGGCTGCGCCGGCTGCGGCTTCCGGGCGCGCCGGACGCCGTGCCTGAGGCAGGGCCCTTGGAGGCAGTTGGCCCGAAAAATCTCGACTGAAGTTTTTTTTTGGCCTATTAGAATTCAAGTTCTCGAAATTTGAAAGGTCGTTAGAGCTCTAATTCCCTACCTAGGCTCTGCCTAGAGGGTTCTTACTCTCTTTCTTAAAGGGGCCGGGCAGTGCAAACCGCCCCGGGCGGTTCCCCCGGTATCCGCCCCGCGGTTCCCCCAGTTACGTCCCCTTAGCTTAGCGTTGCTTATCTCATATTAGCTTAGCTTTTTTCATTTTAGCTTAGCTTAGCTTCATCATAGCTCAGGCGTATCTTAGCTTATGGTACCTGCATCTTAGCTTCGCTGAGCTTTAGCATAGCAGAGCACATCATAGCATAGCATAGCATAGCATAGCATAGCGTAGCATAGCATAGCGCATCACATCATATCATAGCATAGCCCAGCATAGCATATCATAGCGCAGCATATTATAGCATAGCATAGCGCAGATTAGCATAGCATAGCATAGCATAACATAGTTTAGCATAGCACAGCGCAGCATGACATAGCATAGCTTATTTTAGCTTAACATAGCATAACATCGCGCAGCATAGCATAGCATTGCATAGCATAGCGCAGCATAGCATGGCATGGCATAACATAACATAGCATAGCATAGCAACTAATGCTGATTTCTCAGGGGCTCCAGCTTCTAGGTAGGGTCGCACTGGGGTAATATGTGTGCCCCCATATTCGATCTTATTCCCGCTCGCCATCTTAATCTCAGGTCGATCGGGTACATATTACTGTCAAAAGTACTACCCTTGCCCGAGGCTGGGTGGAGCCGTGGCAGGTCCCCATCTGCAACTGGCGCGCCCGTACAGTCGGAAGAACCTCCCTCAGGAGCATGAGACCCTCCGTCGCCCAAATCCAAACAGAGCATCCAGGGGTACCCTCCCCAGCATGCACAAAAACAGCCAACAAGCAGGGAGAACACTACGGTACCCTCCCCGAACCGACCTCGATCTCATACCTCGGTCCGACTGCACTCGGAGGCCATCGTCCTGCTAGGGAGCCCACAAAGGACGCACGCGCCCAACTATGTACATGAACACGGCCACTCGATCCGCGGGACCCGCCGCGTGATACGAGCATTCGCGCAATGTGTACTCTCCAAACCAGCGTGGATTCATGTACGTGTACGTCCTTATTTCGCTATTTTGTTTGATTTGTTGTTGATCTCCACGGCTTCACCACATCAGCCAAACAGGCGACTCCTTGCAACATCTGTGGGAAACGCTGCAAGCAAAACGCACCGAGCAGCAGGTGCAAAACAATTGGGCGACCTCGCCTCGGCGAGCGCCGCTTCGGGGATTGCGTTTTGTTGCTGCTGCCGACGAAGCGTCCGGAGGAAGTGCTGCCGCCGCCGTGCCTCAAGCCGATGGCTCCCCGTGCGGCCGGATGGGCACCAATCCTAGAAAGGCCGTCGGCCTGCTGCCGACGCCGTGTCCGGAGAAGATGCTGCGCCCGCCAAGCCTTACGTCGGGCACGTCCCTCTGCAGGAGGAATCCTCAAGAAGAGTCAAAAAATAATCGGACGATGTTTTGACTAGCTTTGCATATTTTGGGGGCATTTGTGGAGCATGCTTCATATCTCGTCCAAAGTTCGTCTGCAGGGGAACATGCCCGACATAAGCCAAGCCTCGTCCAGGTATTGCTCGGGTTCCGCCGCCTGCTGCTGACGTCGCGCCCCTGCCCGAGGTCATCGGCCTGGCGGCCTGGGCGCGCCATCAGCCCGCGGAGATCAAGCGCTTGATGTAAGTCGGGCGTGTCCCCCTACAGGCGGATTTTGGACGAAAAATTAAGAATGCTCAAACAAATCCGGGCGAAGGACCCAACCGTATGCAAAAATGAATACCGCAGGGCAGGTGGGACGAAGCAAGGGAAATTCCCAATGTGGCCACGAACCGTGTGAGGGGTGCGCCACAATGAGGCAGGGCCGCCATGCGAACCCTGCCACTGGGGCCTTCGGTGGAACTCCCAATGGGGCCACGAACCGTGTGAGGGGTGCGCCAAAATGGGGCGGCGGCGCAATGCGAACTGCGCCACTGGGATCTTCGGTGGAGCTCCCAATGGGGCCACGAACCGTGTGAGGGGTGTGCCAAAATGGGACGGCGGCGCCATGCGATCTGCACCACTGGGACCTTAGTTGGAGCTCCCTGTGGGGCCACGAACCGTGTGAGGGGTGTGCCAAAATGGGGCGGCGGCGCCATGAAAACTGCGCCACTGCGAACTTCGGTGGAGCTCCCTATGGGGCCACGAACCGTGTGAGGGGTGTGCCAAAGTGGGGCGGCGGCGCCATGCGAACTGCGCCACTGGGACCTTAGGTGGAGCTCCCTATGGGGCCACGAAACGTGTGAGGGGTGTGCCAAAATGGGGCGGCGGCGCCATGCGAACTGCGCCACTGGGACCTTAGGTGGACCTTAGGTGGAGCTCCCTATGAGGCCACGAACCGTGTGAGGGGTGTACCGCAACAGAGACATGCGGAGAGCAAAGGCAAGGAGGGGGAGGAGGGAGGAGGGGGAGGAGGGATGATGATGATGATGATGATGATGATGATGATGATGATGATGATGAGGAGGAGGAGGAGGAGGAGGAGGAGGAGGAGGAGGAGGAGGAGGAGGAGGAGAAAGGAGGAGAACGCGGGGCACCGTCTCTTCAAAACGAGGACCTAACACCACAGGATGGTTGGGAACAAAACCAACAACAAAATAGTAGAAACATCGTCCCCTGACTATTTGTTGCCTGCCTTTAAATATTCCTCCTGTAGAGGAACAGGCCCGACTCAACGCTTGGTGAGGGTCAGCCGCTCGGTCGCACGCGTCCCTCTGCTTGATGCCGACGCCGCGTCCGACGCTCGTGGGCCTCGGCGCGGTGCTGCGGGTGCGCCGCTGCTGGAGGGGTGGAAGTGGGCGTGCTCAGGAAGAGCTCTTGATCCTCCACTTTCGAGGAGGCGTACGAGAGAAGTACGCTGCTTTCGCCTGGTCAGAAGAGCCTTTGGGCCCCCTTTCAGCTTTCTTCGGAGCGCGCAGAGCTCTACGAGGGTTCCGGCGGCAACCAGGTTGACGGTTTACCGCCGGCGCCCAGTGGGCGTGCTCAGGCACTGCTCTTGATCCTCAACTTTCGGGGAGGCGTAAGAGAGAAGTACGATGCTTTCGCCTTGTCAGAAGAGCCTTTCGGCCCCCTGTCAGCTTTCTTCGGAGCGCGCAGAGCTCTACGAGGGTCCTGGCGACAACCAGGTTGACGGTTGACCGCCGGCGCCCAGTGGGCGTGCTCAGGCACTGCTCTTGATCCTCCACTTTCGGGGAGACGTAAGACTCGGGTACGAGGGAAAGGACTCGGGTTGGCCTGACGGGGGCCATCCTAAAAATGACGAGACCCGATCTGAAATCTAACGCGGGCTCCCGCTGCAGACATCCCACGAAAACGGGATCGTCAAAATCCAGCACGCGCTCGCCCCCAAAAAAAGTCGGCAAACCCGAGTTCCGGCTTACTCGAGTCTTAACTATGTTTCCCCGACACATGATCATTCTTCGTCGGATCACGTGGACCGGCTTGTGGATGAGATTCCGCGCAGGCGTGTGTAGCCAGGACCTTTGCCTAAGCCGCCCCCCACCATTCAGACGTCGCCAGCTGGTACATTGACGAGATTCTTGCCCAACGCATAGCTGCGGAGACCCTCCCTCGGAGGCGCCGTTGTCTCGGCCAGGCTGCCGAATTTCTATGACGATGCAGGCCAAGATCATTGTACTCGGCGCGCGTCCCCTCCCCGGCTCGAGAGGACGCCCCCGGGAGTTGGCCGTCGCAGAGCCTCCAGCTGCCCCACCTGAGGTCGGTCACGTAGGACCCAGCTACGTGTTTTCGCCTGTGCGGCGTTTTCCCTGTGCCGGCGTCCTAACAGACGGAAAACGTGCCAGAGGTGCCAGGTTTGTGTTCCAACCTCTTCCCTCCCTCTCGTTTGCTTCCTCCCTCCCTCCCTCCGTGCCCCTCCCGACTGGCCGTGTGCCCAAGCCACGGCGGTCGTTCCTGTATGAACTTGCCTGCCAATCAGACTGACTAGAGCCATCTGTCGACACCCTGATCCGATGCCGGCCAAGATAGTGAACGTGTTCTTATTCGGCGTTTCGCCACTGGGCGGCAGGGGGGGGAAGTGGAGGGGTATGGCTCCGGACCTCAGCTGGATGCGGCTGTTTGCGGCAGTGCGTCCTATGGGGGAGGGACTCCACCTGCTTGACACAGGCGCCAAAAACAGCGGAAATCTACGCCATGGGCGGGGGGGAGAGGGGAGGGTGCGAGGGCCCGCGCCGATCGGCAAAACAATGAACAAGCAAACGATCACATACTTGATGTGGAGGTGTTTCTCCCCAATCAGTGCTTGCACTGAAGGAGTCCTAGCAGAAATGGAAAGATCTGGCGAAAATGTCCCGCCCATGTTGGTGGCCGGCTAAGCTCCCGGCTCCGGGTTCCCGGGTTCCTGGTTATTGGTTCCGGGCCAATTTCGGTGGGTTCTGGGTTGCTGGGTTCCCGGTGGATCTCCTCATCGATCAAATAATCCACTGACTGGGGTTTTTCTCCGGTGTAATTTTTCGGGAGTGCGGGGAGTGGTGGATAGAAGTTGGATGCACTGGGTCTCCAGCCTAGCCTCGGGGCGACGCGTCCCGACGGCATCGTCGCCAAGGCTCCTCTGCTGTGCTTGCTTTGAGTATCGTTGAACCGATCAACATCCCCAGCGGCGTGGCCTGGGCCCCACTGGCCGATTTACCCCCCTAGATGGGGATACAGGCCGTTCCCTTCGGGTTTCGAGGGGTACATCCCCAACTGGGGGGTAATTTGGTGGGGGTCGCGAAGGGGATGGGGATGGGGATGGAGTCGGTTAAACGATACTGATGCTTACTCGGAGCCACAGCAGAAAAACTGCAGCCTCACGAATGATCTGCGAGCTTCGTGCCGGCCTCTGCTAACAGGCCCCCAGCTCAGTGAGTCGGCGTCGCCGTCCAAGAATCCTCCGTCCCTCCCTCCCTCCTCCCTCCCTGGATATCCGCTCCGGCCTCCCGCGGATATCCGATCCGCAGGCTGCCACACGGCTCAGGCCTTCAGCGACCCCACGACAGCTGTGCACGACCACGCTTCAATGCCACCGTCCGCCGCCGCCGCCTCCCTCCCCGCCCCCCCCCCCTACCTCCCCGCCCCCTCTCCGCCTCCTGCATACCCACCCCCCGCTTCTCCCTGCCACCTCCGGCCCCCTCACGATGGGCGCCAAGAGAGGGGCGCCAAGAGGGGGGGGGCGTTCGGCCCGGACGCGCCCCCCCTCCCCTCCCTCCCCTTCTCCAATGGCTACTCTGGGTTTCCAGTAAGGGGTGCCCCCCCGACGGGGGTCAACCTCGCCTCGTCGTCGCGCCACGACGGGGGTCGGCTCGCCTTTGGCGCGCGGTAGCTACCCGCGACGGAGGTCGATGTGGGGCTGTCGGCGGGGGTGGCGCCCCCCCAACGCTTAGAAATAAGCTCAAAACAAACAAACAAAAAACCTAAGCCGACGCCGCCCCCCTTGGCTGCAGCCCCGAGGCCGCCCACGGCGGCGGCAGAAGCGAGAACTGACCGAGCCGGCAGCGACCTCGGGCCCGACCGAGGCCGACAGGCCGCAAGCAGCCCAAAGGGGCGCAGCGACGGCGCAGAGGAACGGACGGACCGATCCAGACCAACCGGAAGCAGCCGACTGCGTCGCAGCCGCACCGACCGGTCTGGAGCACCCCAGGCGACAGGCCTCCCTTCGCAGCCGCGCGCCGTCCTGCGGCGCCGACCCGGCGAAGTGCCCAGGCGGCGGCGGGACGTGTCTCTTCTGCGGCGGCGGCGGCGCCCGCGCCTCTGCCCCCGGGTCGCTCTCCGCCAGCATGGTCCGGGCGAAACCCCTCCTGCGGGTGAGGGTCTGCGCGCAGGAGGGCACTCATGCAGCATCGCAGTGCCTGGCCAGGGCCCTCCTGGGCCCTGGCATGGTGTACGCATTGGCCCTCCTGGCACCGGCCAAAAAAATCTGTCTACCATCCTACGACTGCGGATCAAAGGCAACCCGTGTAAGATGGATGCGCGGTAAAGACGCAAGGGCCTTGGAATGCCATGTCGACAGCTTTCGAGCGGGGCGTGACCAGCGGAAGCAGCTAAGGATGGGCCGAAAGGGAAGGATGCAAGGGTAACCTTGGAACATTGCTCATCCTTGCTATTCGCCAGGTTGACTGTATAATTACGGGACGCTTCTGCAGCTCAGCGATCTGGTTCTCACGGAGCACCGTGCGGACCTGGAAGGCCAGGAGTGCTGAACTGAAGGGCGTCGCCGCGTCGGCGCGCAGAACTCCTTTAGTTCAGCAGTCCTTGCCTCCCCTGTCCAGTCGACGTGGTGAAGCTCAGGGGCTGGATCGTTGGATTTCAGGGCCCACGGCGAGCAGACCCATACAGTCAACATCTTGAAACAAAGGAAAAACTGAGTTGTTGTGTGTTCCGTTCCCCGAGACCGGAAAAACATAACTAGTTGGGAAAATAAGCAAGTCGCGAGGAAGGTGCCGCGAGCTCCGGAGACGCCGCATCTGCAAATAGCACGACATCAGAAGTCTGGGGATGAAGGAGGCGGGCGGGGATTCGAGGATCGAGGATCGCAGTATTTGTGCGCTCGGGGATCCACCCTCAGAACCCGAGGCCTCCCACATGGGGTTCGAGTAGATGGGGTCGGAGGACCGCGCTGCATCGACGATGCATCGGCGACGTCGGCGTGGGGAAACCGGGCTCCACATCGAGCCGCATCACCGATGCATCGGCGATGCGGCGCGGTCCTCCGACCACTAGGATTTTGTCCTGGACTCAACGCGTACAGTAAATGCGTGCTGCTAGCACGGCTCCTCACGGGACCTCTGAGGCTAAAAACGGCTGCGGAGTTTGGGAAGCCTTGCTGCAAACACGTCTCTCCCGCCTGTGCTACACTGTGTACGCAACCACGTACGCAACCATCTCAGACTGACCTTCGCAAGGATACTCGAAGCAACGTCGCACGCGCCGCTGGACCTCCGAAACGATGCTGCTGCAAGTGAGCAAGCAATTCTCGGGCCCCTTCTGGGAGGCCAAAAGCCCGGGCCCGGAAGCACTCCAGGCGAGCTCCGGGGGCCCACCCCGAGGGGAGGCCCACCCCGAGGGAGGAAAAGGAGGGAGAAGGGAGGAGATTGGAGGAGGAGGAGGAGGAGGAGGAGGAGGAGGAGGAGGAGGAGGAGGAGGGTGGAGGAGGAGGAGAAGAGGAGGAGGAGGAGGAGGAGGAGGAGGAGGGGAGGAGGAGGAGGAGGCCCGACGCGGCGGCGGGGCGGACGGGGCCGCCGTCGGAGCGGGCGTGGGGCTCCGCCGGTGGAAGGGGGCCCTGCCTCTCGCGGGAGCCGCGCGCCCACCCCTGAGCACCCTCCGCGAGGCGGGGGGGGCCTCCGCAGAAGGCCTGCCCCCGGACCGCGAGTGGAGCGCGACTTGCCGGGCGTGGACGGGACCCCCTCTGGCAGAGCGTGGCCCGGTGACGACGGCCTCGGGCCCAAACCTGGCGGGCGCAGGACTGGAAAGCGACGGCCGCGGCGCCATCGAGGACCGAGAACGGACAACTCACTCATCGACGTGTCAGGGTGGGGGTTCTGTCCACCCCTCCGAATTCATGGGGGGCGATAGACGGGGGGGGGGGGGGGGGGGGGGGGGTTGCCTTTTTTCGGGCCCTCAAAGCCGAGGGGCCCCTTTTCTGCAGCCCTCGCTGCCGCCCCCCCCCCCCACCCCCCCCCCCTGTATCGCCCGCCCCAGTCACACGTCCTCCTGAGCGAGCCCCCTCCTGCGCGCGCCGGGCTCCTCTTGGAAGAGGGCCGCGTGGACGAGCCGCCAGACCAGGCGCAGGCCGGGGGAGCCTGGGGTCGGGCACGCCCCCCTACAGGCGCGGACGCTGGACGACAAATACCCCCCCAAAGAAAACTTCAGAAATAGTCAAAATATCGTAACCCAACTATTGTTTGACTGTTTTTGCACATCCCCCCTGTGGAGGGACACGCCCGACGTAAGGGGAGCCTGCTCGTCGCTCTCCATCCACAGGTTCCGCTCGAAGCGCCTTCGGGAGGGCGTCGGAACCGCGAAGACCTCCGAGCTCACGCTCGCGTGCCACGTGTTGAGCATCCTCCGCGAGGGCGCCCAGGACGCAGGCTCCGGGTCCCAGACACGGCGGGCAGGTGCCTCGTGGGCCCTGCTGGCGGGGCCGTGCCGCGGCCCTGTCGGGAGTGCGCAAGGGACACGTCAGCGTCAGCTCGTGACTTGCTCCGCCAACGATCTCCCGCTGGCACCGGAGCACTGTCCCCGTACCCCATCGAGACGACATCCTTGCGCAGAGCCTCAAGTGATGCCGCGAAGCGTCTCGGCGCAGCCTCGCTCGGCTCGCTTGGAGTTTCTGCGGCGTCAAGCCGCACCGCATCGCATAGCATAGCATAACGTAGCACAGCATACTATAATCTGGCATGGCACACTCCAGGTACAGCATGGCCTATCACGGCTTGGCACGGCGCAATAGAAATATTGCATTGCGTAGTATAGCACACCATGGCCCATCATAGCATTGTGAGCATAGAACTGCATTGTGAACATTTCTTTGCATCATCTGTCATTCCATGGCTTGCTGCAAAATCCTGTGCATTGATTTGAAGGTTGCATTGTGTTGCCTTGACTTGCGTTGATTTGCACAAGTCCGTTGCCCAAAAAGTGTTTGCACTTGGGCTGTTGCTTGCCCCCCTGAGGAATCCGCTGGGGTCAGACAAAGATTTGCGCTGGGTGGGTGAGGCGAGGTCTCACCACGTTGCCGCCTTCTTGCCGTCTCGTTGCTGCTCCGTCTGCTGGGTGGGGCCGGCAAGGTTTCGCCACGGTGCCACCTCGTTGCCCCCTCATTTCGGCGGTGGACAAACCTCCCTTTAGTAAACCTCCCTTTAGTGAGAACGGCCTGGGACCGAAACCGACGGATCTGGACCCGCAAAAATGACGGCCGCGACGCCCTCTCGCGAACCGAAAACGGCCAATTCGCTTATCGGCGTGTCAGGGTAGGAGGTCTGTCCACCCCCGATTCTTGCTGCCTAGTCTGGCGAGGCTCCGCCACGCTGCCGCCCGTTGCAGCTTCGTTGCCGCCTCGCGCGCTGGGCGTGTCCAGGCGAGGCCTCGCCACGCTGCCGCCCGTTGCCGCCTCGTTGCCGCCTCGTGCGCTCTGTGGGTCCAGCGAAGCTTCGCCACGCTGCCGCCCGCTGCCGCCACGTTGCCGCCTCGTGCGCCGGGCGGGTCTGGCGAGGTTTCTCGCCACGTTGCCGCCCGCTTCCCCGCCTCGTGCGCTGGGTGGGTCCGGCGACGTTTCGCCACGTTGCCGCCCGTTGCCACTTCGTTGCCGCCTCTAGCTTGCATCGCGCATATTCTCCATTATAAGAAGGTCTGTACCCCCCCCTTGGTTCAACGCTTCACCTTCTCGCGTTGCAGCGTACCTATAATTTTTCCTCGTCACCCACATTAGAAAATGAATTCATGTCATCCCCCTGCAGACGGATATTGACCCCCCCTTATCCTCTGGGAAAAACTACGCGTGCGCACCCGTGTCAACAAAACCATGTTTTCCGGAGCCCCTTTGCAAAAAACGGGACGAAGCGCACACGCGCGCGTCGTCGATCACGCATGCCGAAATCCTTCAAAAACTCTGGACGATGTCCAGGACACACATGAAACTATGTTTGGGCAACGTCCGTTTTCAAGGAAAACTGCGCGCCCTTTCAAACTCTCCAAATAAAACATCGGCTTCCAACGTTTTCATCATGATCGACCCAGCGAGCCTCTCGAGCCGCAAATCGAAATCATGCGAACGCCCTGCGCGCGCTTGGGGGGCACGATCCCTCTCGTATCCGCCGACCCTGCGTCAGCGTGCGCGAGGGGCTCTTCCGTTCCCGTCGTTCGTCCGTCGTCGTCTCCGTCGTCTCTCGTCCCTGCGCCCACCACTTCCCTGGGCCAGTCGTCTCCTGTCCCTGCGCTCCCCCTTTCCCTAGGCCCGTCTCCCCTCCTCCCCGTTCCCCCTCTTCTCTGGGCCCGTCGCCGCTCCCCCCGGCTTTTCCAGGGCCTCCCCATCAAGAGCAACGCCGTCATTGAATCGAAGGGGAGCCCCTTACCTTTGATCGCCTCCCTGCCGGGGGGGGCGGGGGGGGGCGGTCCCGGGCGAGGCCCCGGGGGTCGCGGGGGGGGGGTCCCGGGGGGTGTCCCAGGGGGAGTCCCGCGTCACATACGACTCTCACCCTGGGGGCCCCGGGGCCCACGCCAAGAGCCGAGGCATTCTGCCACGCCCTCTCCTCCTCCCCCCGGCCCCCTCCACCCTCATCTTTCCTCTTTCCTCCGCCCCCCTCCAAAACCGAACCAACCTCCTGGACGCTCGGCCACGGGGACGCCCCGGGACCCAGAATTCAGGTCCCCGGGACCCTCCGGGACCCAGCCCCGAGGACCTCCTCCCAGGACCCAACACTAGGGGCCCCCTCAAAAAGTCCAGGACTCCCAGGCCCCAGGACCCCAAGACCCAGTCGTACCTCACGCCGATTTACTGGCTGGCGCGGAGCGGTGTCTGTACTCTGCACTTTCAGCCCCCTCCTTCCTCCCCTTCTCCTCCACCTCTTCCGCCTCCCCCTCCTCAGCCTCCTCCTGCTCCGCCTCCTCCTCCCCCCCTCCTCCCCCTCATGTCCCTCCTCCTCCTCCTCTCCCCTCCTCTTCCCCCTCATTACCATCATCCTCACCTTCCTACTCCTCCTCCTCCTCCGACTTCTCCAGCCGCCGGGTTTACTCCCCCCTCCGCGCCATCATCATCGTCACCGTCACCGACATCAACACCATCGTCATCATCGTCCACCTCCTCGTCATTGTTCTTCCTCCTCCTCCTCCTCCTCCTCCTCCTCCTCCTCCTCCTCCTCCTCCTCCTCCTCATGCTCGCCACGCTGTGCCCCCCCCGCCTCTCTCCCGTGTCAGCCCTCCCACTCCTGCACCATGCGGCCCTGCTCGCCTCGTCCTGCTCCCACTCATTTCCCCCCCTCCTCCTCCTCCTCCTCCTCCTCTCCCTCCTCCTCCTCTCCTCCTCTCCTCCTCCTCCTCCTCTCCTCCTCCTCCTCCTCCTCCTCCTCCTCCTCCTCCTCCTCCTCCTCCTCCTCCTCCTCCCTCGTGTTCCCTGACGTCCTCCGCCTCCTGCTCATCAACGTCCTTGTTCTGCTCGTCGTCTCCGTCTGCAAGGTCGGCGGCACCGGCCGTAAGGCCTTCGCAGTAACACCATGCGGACCAGTCGCGCGCGTCGGCCGCGCGCGCACGTCGAACTCCTTCCAAAACCTTCAACACCGACGCGAAGACATCGTCATCGTCATCGGCGTGATTGGCATCGGCGCCGTAATTGGCCTTGCCGTCGTCATCGTCACCATCGTCACCATCACCGCTGCTATCATCATCGTGTCTACCGTTGCCGGCGTCGCCATGATACCGTGCCCGCCAAGTCACCGACTCGCACTGAAGGGCCCGCTTTCGAAATGCACAGCGGTCAGCGCCACCGCGGCCGCGTCGGCCGCGCCAAACTAGCTGGCCGCTGTGCGCGCGAGCATTCGCGGGCTGGCGCAGCCGCAGGGATGCACTAGCCAACACCATGCAATCGTCGCAATCAGCGCCGCATGGGTTTTTGAAACCTAATCGCGGGTGGGTGGGTGGGATGTTTGCGCGAACAGTGAAGTTGTCAACTCCAATATTTTCAAACTTGTCTGCACTACATAGCTTACACCGCGTAGCCTGCAACTGGTTTGTGTTGGTTCGAGGCACTTCGACGCGCATTGCTTTCCATCTCATTGCACCGCATTGTTGTGCATCCCCTCACTGCGCCATCACGGGCTTGGCAATGGACTGCATCGCATGGTCCTGCCTCGCCTTGAACCTCCCTGCCCCGGGAGAACATGGGGGAGGGTCCACGCACCCCGGGCCCCGCAGTGCTTGAGAGTCTTCATGGCCCTCCGACCTGTTTGTTTTTGGGTGGGGACCCTCCGACCTTTAGAGGCCTCCTAGATGGAGTCGGAGTAGATGGGGTCGGAGGATCGCGCCGCATCGCAGATACATCGGCGATGCATCGGCGATGCGTCGGCGACGCATCGGCGATGCACCAGCAATGCATCGTCGACGTCGGCGACGCATCGGCGACGTCGACGTGAGGCAAATCGGGCTGCACTGCACATCGAACCGCACCGGCGATGCATCGGCGATGCGGCGCCATCCTCGAACCCCATCTGCTCCAACTCCAGCTCGAAGGCCTAGAGACCCTTCGACCCTTCGAGGGCAGCCAGGAGCGCTCGTCCGGCCCGTCGACCACCCTGCAGCAGGCCCTGGACAGCGACGACCGCGCCGCCCGCGGCGCGGGCGCGAAGGCATGGCCCTGGGAAGCTGCCGCCATCGCAGTCGCCGCGCGGCGGGGGTGGCCCGCCCCCCCCTGGCTGGATGAGCATCCCCCCCCAAGGTCGTGGCCCTGTGGGCGTGGCGTGGTCGTCGGTGGTGGTGGTGGTGGTGGTGGTGGTGGTGGTGGTGGTGGTGGTGGTGGTTGTGGTGGTCGTGGTGGTGGTGGCGGTGGTGGTGGCGGTGGTGGGTGGTGGTGGTCGTGGTGGTGCTCGTGGTGGTGCTCGTGGTGGTGGTCGTGGTGGTGGTCGTCGTCGTCGTCGCCCCCCCAATCCCATCAGGGGAGGGGCCTGTGAACTCCGAGACCCATCCCATCTGGGGTGTGGGCCTGGGAGCACTTGACCGTGGATCACACATGATCCCGGGCTCCGGGCACACTGCCCCCCCACCCACCCAGATGGGATGGGTCCCAGGGTCCCTCGGCCCCGCCCCCCAGATGGGACGGGGGAGGGACGACGACGACGACGACGACGACGACGACGACGACAGCGACGACGACGACGACGACGACGACGACGCAGAGACTCGCGGCCGACCCGCCTGGCGGGCCAGCCTATCCAGCGCGGAGGGCGCCGCGGCGCGGTGCCCCTCGGGGGCGGGCCAGGCTGGGCGGCCCGGCCAGGCGAGCGGTGGAGGAGGCAGGCACTGCGGGCGGCCTCGGGCCTGCACGGTTTCCCCAAGGGCCGTAGGCGACCAAAGAAAAAGGAGGAGGAGGAGGAGGAGGAGGAGGAGAGCGAAGAGGGGGAGGAGGAGGAGGAGGAGGAGGAGGAGGAGGAGGAGGAGGAGGAGGAGGAGGAGGAGGAGGAGGAGGAGAGGGAGGAGGAGGAGGAGGAGAAGGAGGAGAGAAGGAGGGGAAGGAGGAGGAAGAGAAGAACGAGGAGGAGGAGGAGGAGGAGAAGGAGAAGGAGAAGGGAGGAGGAGGAGGAGGAGGAGGAGGAGGAGGTCCCGAGCGATGGAAGGCGCGGCCGATCCGATCGAACGCGCCCCAGCAACGAGAAATGCAAAACTGCACTGCGATTGGCATTCGACTGCAACGCACAGCTCATCCAGGCACGCGACGACCCCAGCGAAATCGAACGATCGAAAGCGGAATCTGTGCGGCCTGGGCATCATACTGACAAGGGGCGGCCAGTACGGGGATGCATACCACGCATGATCCTAGCAAGTGCTTGCTCTTCGTTGGCAAGCGTGCTGATTACCTCGGAGTGTCCTCCACACTCCTTGATCAACTTGGGGTTCCGCCCCTGAAAAAAAGAGTATGCGCCACAGCTGAGGCAGACAACCGTGCAGCCAAAGCGCTCCATGACATGCTTCCTGTCACGGAAAAACATGAGCTCACCGTCCTCCTCCGCGCCCGACCCACGCCCCCACCCACCCCGTCCTCCCCCAAACCTCTGGGGGCGGCCGCCTGGGGGGGCGCGCCTGGCACTGGGTCGACCTCCCCCAGCTCGGCGGCGGCGATGGCCACTCGCGCGGACTCGCTGGGGTGGACGTACAGGTCGGGCGTGATTCGGAAGAATCTCACGGCTGAGGCAACATCCAAAGAGCTCGGCTCGCACGCTCGCGAACGGAACGGAGGGCCCTGAGGGATTCCTTGGTCCTGATTTATTTACTACATACTGAGCATCCATGCTCACCCAGCCTAGCACAGAACCGAAACTCGTGAGCCTCAAACACCACCGACGGCACGACTTCCGATCGTATTTGAATCTGCGGCGTGCTTTCTCGAGGCTGGAGTTTCTCCGTCGCGCGGGCTACAGCCTGGGCCACCCAGGCAAAGACTCTGCGATTTTCCATGGCGGCCTCGAGGCAAGCGGCGTGAAACTCCTGCAAAACACGGACGGGGGCGTGCAGCAGAGCACCTTTTTTGGCAAAGAAAGCAGCCCACTCATTGCCAACAGAACATTCAAAATCACAGTCCTGAGAATCAAGGGCCGCCTCCAGGTTCCTGTGAGCAGGAACCCACACGAAACTCGGTGGCTCCTCCTCCTCCTATAACCTACGCATCTGCCTCCAGACCGCAGCGTGCTTGGAACGCGCGTCGCTCTCTCCAGACCTGGGGCTCCACTGCTGTCCCTCTCTCACGAAGTTCATGTGGTTTGAAAGCACTATCGCAGGGTGAGCAGCAACCTCTAGTGCCTTGACGCCTGCATGGTGCTCCGCTCTGGGCACCGACTGCACCTGGCCAGGTAGAGCTCCAAAGATGGCTCGAATCACCATCCCTAAGGCGTCTAATTCAACCACAGACCAGCCGCACATCGTGAGACCAGCCAGGGACGAGGCTTGGCCCGACCCGTCAGCGTAGACCTTCCGCCCCCACAGGCCCCGCCAGTCCCCCCACCCAAGGACGGGGTGAGCCTCTTCAGGAGGCGACGGAAGAGGCGGCAGGGGCGACAGCCCGAAATTGGGATAACTCAAGACCTTATCGCGAATCGCAGCTCGTCGCTCTAGCACGTCATCTGGCAGCGCTTCATCCAGGGAGTCCAACATGGCCTCGCATCCGAACCACTGATGTGCCTCCGACCCTAGCTCCTGCTGGCAACCGAAACAATTAGGCGACGCACGCAGCAGGATGGAGTGGAAGCGCTCTGGGTCCAAACCCCAGCAGCCCAGAGAGAGCGAGACCCCCCCTCCCCCTCCGACCCCCATCTGGAATTGAAAGCACGGCATGCCTCATAGCCCGCCTCCAGCACGACTCAACCTGACAATTAGGCAAGTGTTGGGGGGCGCGACCGGTCTGCCACCGACGTATACCTTCCTCGAGGTACCGTCTCACATCGCACGGGGAAACACGCAGCATGTCTATTATCATACCTAGGTCAGAGACAGGCACCGTAGGGGAAGACATCGTCCACCCAACACGAGACAAAGTGGCCCAAACAGTGGCGATTGGGCCTCTGGCTCCAACCTTCGCAGCGTTCCATGCCCGATGGAGACGGCCGAGAGCCACTCGCCTGTCCCACAGGAATGACGCAAAACGGACGACAATCGGCACCGGCGCTTCAAAAATCGTATCAAACCTATCGTCCACCTGGGTCGCAAGGTACAAAGGTAAGCAGGACTTAGGCTTGGCCCCGCACATTCCACCTGCGAAGGTCCTTAGCTCTCTGGTAGCAGGTGTCAGAGAGCCCCGACGCACCAGCCCCGTGGCCAGCAGCTGGGAGGAGCCCCGTTCTCCAAAGAGTCTTGACAGCCTCGCCTGCGGCGTGCCTCAAGCCCCAAACCTTACGCTTTTTAGGCATGATCGTGCGCAACCTAGCTGTTCCCTGCACTCGCAAAACTCGGGACCCATGCATCTCATGGCCCAAGTTCCCCATGGCCTTCTTGGCTCCTATGCCAAGGGTCCCGATGGCACTGGCGAAACGATCTCGGCCTCTAGCCGCGTTGGCGACAAACCCTGACTTGCTGGCTTGCACCACAAGCCCCAGTGGCCTCACATCCTCACAGAAAGTGCGGACAGCATTGGCCAACTGTCTGGACTCGCCCCTTCGACACCCCGCCCTCCGCCGCTCCCCCGGTCAATTAAGACTCACATCATCGATCAGATCACGTGGCTCGACCGACGGGTAAAGCCCCCTGGTATTCTGGGGGCTCCTAAAAAGAAGAACCTTGAGCAGAGTGGTTGCCATGCTGCACCCTGCAAGAATATCATGGTTAGATGAGACGGGGAACGAGAGGGAGGCAAAGGCTCTAAGGCAGCGAGGTTGGGGGTAGGTCTGAGTGGTCATCCACGCTAGCCCTATCGGGAACCCTACCTCGCGGGCTTCGTCCAAGAGGCTCTGCAGCACGACCGTTTCGTAACATTTGAGCATATCTATGAAGACCGTCAAGCTGCCTTCTCCTACCTCGCGCGAAATCTCAGCATCTAAATTCAAAGAGAATGCGCTGTCCGACGAGGACCTGCCAGCTCCTGCTCCCCAATAGCACTCCAGATCATGAGAGAGTTCCCAAGCAGACGCTATGGGCCGTCTGGCCCTGCCCCAGACCCGAAGAAGGGTGTTGAGAAGGGCGATCAAGCGGCAAACCCCTGACGGTTTGGGGAGTCTTACGAGCTGGGTCAGAGTCCTACTGGACGGCCAGAACAAGAGCTTTTCACATCTCATGAAAAGCTGAGCCAACACTTCCAAACCGACGTCGCTGAGGAAAATCAGGCTCCTGGGGGCGAAACTGAACTGGCCGATGCCAGTGGCCCAAGGGAACTGCAGAACCGCTGTTTTCAAATCGGCAATCTCGAGCGTCGGTAGCTCGCACCAGTCGGCCGCGTCGGATGGCAACTTCGTCGCTGGAGCATCGTGCATCGACCAAATCGTGTCCCGCTGCCGCATCGCCTTGTCAGCGAGCACATGAGGCTGCACAGTAGTTCTCGCCAACAGGTTCACATCCACCACCTCTTGCAAGGCTTTACCCCTCGCGTGACGGCGCGCGAAACTTGCCCCATTCTTAAAAAAGTTGGTCGCCCAGGCTCGCCCGGCTGCAGCTGACTGGTCCGAATGTTTGTCCACTAGCGCAACGGCCTTGGCTTCAATGGCACCCAACCACGCGTCGGAGTCAGCCGTGAGGAAATCTATTCCAAGCAAGAAAAATGCCGATGCCCACGGCTCAAGAGCGGCCAAGAGAAGAACTTACCTAACTCGAGCATGTGCTTCGCTAGCTGTCGATGAGACGAATCTTCAGCCATGCCAGCCTTCTGCTGGCGGCTGATCAGCACGGTGAGGTTGAGTATCGCCTCTTTTGACCTACGCATGTGCCTGGCCCATATGGCCGCTATATTCCACGAGCGGTCGGCTTCTGACATGTACTCTCGCTTCACTTGAGGCTGCCACTGGACCTTAGTCATGACAAAACGTATGGGGCCTCCAGCACCTCGATAAGCTTCGCCTTTGGCTCCGACCAGGTCGTCCGTCCCAAGCAGCTCTAATTCGATCTGGTGCAAGACCGCACCCCATGCCGTCTGCAGCTCTGCGCTGCTGCTGGCCGATGTAACGAGAGCCTGACCCACTTCCCATCTCAACGGGAACCGAGGGCACCCAGGAGAGGGCTGTTTCGGCACGAACCTAGGACCACGCAGTTCCCCACGTACAAACTGGAGGCCACGGCCTGCCAAGGAGAGGAATACTGGCAAATGTGGAAAGGTGGCCGTCGCCTCCTGCACTGCTGGCTGGCCCGCTCGGGCCATCAAATTTGCCGAGGTGGGGAAGACATCCACGCGGCGGCCAGGCAAGTTCTGGCGACAGGTCGTCGCCGCAGATATTGTTGTCTGACCGTCCTTCATTCACGTACAAGTACACTGAGATGAGCACCAGACCACCAGGAACCCCCCAGCGCACCTGAGCTCGGAGCGCTCGGCCATCCGCCAGAGACCCCGCAATCATGAATGGGGCTCGCGCTATCATCACCGGCGGCCTCGCCAGAATCGCCAGCCCTGACTGTGTCCCGCCAGCGTTGCCCGACTCTTTGGCCTCCGACCAAACACCATGCCAGCCCAACTCGCCAACCCCGGCCTGGGCGTCGGCCAGAAGCGCGGCCGATATGTGGTGATCCTGCAACGTGACCGCCGTGCGCATGCACCCAAGTAGGAACTCCGCCATCCGCTTTTCCGTCGAGCAGTTGAGGCTGACTATTGTGCCCTTCTCGTTCTCGCCGAAGTTGTTGCCCTCAGCTCGTCGCCCACGCGCCGACGCCGTAGCATCCGAAGACGGAACCTCCAGGCACTCGCCCCTCGTTGCGTCGACCCCCAAGGGGGCTGGGGCCGCAACGGCCTCACTGATCGGGCTGCCGCGCCCGTCGACGTCGCGAGCAGGAGGAGCGGGCCGGGGCGGGGCATCGGCCGCCCGCGCGTCCGCGGCCCGCCCCCCTCATCCGCTGCCGCGGCCCTTGCCCCCCCCACCCCCCCCCCCCGCCCCCCCCCCCCCCCCCCATGAGGTCGCCCCCTCTCTGAGACTCAGCTCGCAGAAGGCTCGCGGGCGAGGGGCCCGCCCCAGCACGCCGCCCACCCGGCGACGCCGTAGCGCGCGAAGACGCCGCCAGGCCGCCGCCGCACACCGCGGCGGCCCTCGGGTAGGCTGGGGCCGCAGCTGCCTCACTGCTCGGGCTGCCACGTCCGTCGACGTCGCGAGCGGGAGGTGCGGGCAGGGCCGAGGCATCGGCCACCCGCGCGTCCGCGGCTCGTCTCCCCCGCCCGCCGCCGCGGCCCTGCGCCATCCCCTTGGGCCCGCCGCGGCTGCCGCCAGCGCGCGCCGCGCTCGTCGCCTTCACTGGGCCCGCTGACTCCCAAGGCGCAAAATAGCGGTTTGGCATCAATCGTGCCGGCCGCCGTTCCAATTGAGGGCATGCCACTCGCAACCTCCATCGCACTGCTGAGCCAGATCAAGAACACGCAGATTCTACTGCTCCAGCTTAGCCCTCCTCCCCGACCTCCATCCAGAGATGACCTCCTGAAAGGTGCAGATCCTGCCACGTACTTCTGCTTCGTCTGCGTTCTCATTGACCTCGGTGCCCACCATGCCCAAGAACTCCCGAAGCTCGCCGACGCCCCACTCGTCGGGGCAAGGCATGCCCACGCCCGATCTGTTGGACTTGGCCTCGGACTCATCCGCTGCGCGAGGAACTTCGGCCCGCTGGCCATCTCCGCCCCCTGCGACTCGGCCACGCTGCTCAGCTGCAGCACGGGCTGCCTCCTGCCCCGCGGTCTTCTCGCGCCCCTCCCCCCCCCCCCCCCCAGCGCCCGAACCTCTTGGAGCACCACCCCGAGCTTCGCGGTGAGCGCGCCGTCGTCGCCGAGCCCTTGGAGGAAGGAGCCCAACTTGTCGACGCTGATGCCCAGCGCCTCCGCCGTCTCATCCGCCGCGTTGGCCTCAGGAGGCCTGGGCGCGGACGCCGCCAGGCGTGCTTGCTCCTCGTTGGTCTGCAGGATGGCCCTGTCGGTCTCTGCCGCCAGCTCCTCCTGCACACGGATAGCCTCCTTGGCCTTCTCCAGCTCAACTTTGGCACTGGCCAGGAGGTCCTCATGCTTGGCCCGCTCCTGCTGTAGCTTCTGCGTTCGGAGCGCCAGCGACCGCAGCTGTGCGGGGGCGGGCTTGGCCGCCTCCAGCTCGCTGCGCAGCTTCCTTCTCTCTGTCTCCAGTGACTCTCGCGCCTGCACGAAGCTCGAGTCCTTGAGATTGGCAGCGGCCCTGAGCGAGCTGTCAATCTCCTCGAGCCTCGCGCGCATCTGCAGACTGGAAGGTTGGAGCTGTACTTCACCTGCGTCGACCTCCATTTGATCCTGTTGTCCCTCGGCAGCGATCTGGCTCCGCGCCCGCTCCAACTGCAACTCCAACTGCCGTATCCGATCTTCATGCCATGGCGCTGCTCCTGGGGGGCCTGCCCCCCCTGGCGCGCCTGGCCCTCTCTTGGAAGGCGCCGCAGGCTTGGGCCGAACATGAGCGAACGACGATGCCTTGGCGACTCCACATTTCTTACAACTGACTGCATCTGTTCGGCGCAGCCAAGCCTCGCCTGAGACTGGGCGCTTCCGCCACTTACAGCACCAATCCGCCGCTGCCGCACGACGCCGCTGGGCGTGTCTACTCGGTTTCTTCGAGGCATCCGGCTGTGTCATCCGCCCGCAGGCAGGAGGAGGGAGGAGGAAGAGGAGGAGGAAGGGGAGGAGGGAGGGAGGGCAAGCTAGGTGCGCTCGCGTCATATATGGCATCCTACCCCTCCGTCCCATTCCTTACCATGGCGTAGATCCCCTCTCTACTCGCACACTCGGATGTTGAGCAGGGCAATGATCCCGAAAGGTTACGCGATGCATTGCAGAGCACGGCATGGCATGGCGTAGAAGAGCACCGCAAAGCGTAGTATGTCACAGCATGGCGTGGCGTGGCGTGGCGAAGAATTGCATCACAAAGCTTTGCAACGCAAAGCATGGCATCGCACAGCGGCCCCGAACGTAACATTGTATAGCATGGCGTTGAATATCAAAGCGTAGCATGGCATAGCACGACGTGGCACTTAAGCACTGCATATCACAGCTTCAGCTGAAGGCATGGCATCGCGCAGCGGAACGCAACCTAGCATTGCATTGCACGCCGTGGCATGGCACGGCAAAATAACGCCAACGCTGCAGCGGGAGCACGATTCGGAACGAGCGGAAGCGCGGAAATGAGGCCAGCGCTGCAGCGGGAGCACGATTCGGAACGAGCGGAAGCACGGAAATGAGGCCGCCATCGCTGCAGCGGGAGCACGATTCGGAACGAGCGGGGCCCGAAAATGAGGCCGGCGCCTCAGCGAGAGCAGCATTTTGGAAACCAATGCAAGCGAAAACCGAACTCTGGGGAATCCTGTGTGTAAAAAACAACACTCCCAGCCCGTCATCAGGGGAAGGAGGAGAGTAGTATTCATATTGAATAATTATGGCGGAAGAGGGGGAGGAGGAGGAGGAGGAAGAGGAGGAGGAGGAGGAGGAGGAGGAGGAGGAGGAGGAGGAGGGAGAGGAGGAAGGGGGGGATGGGGAGGAGGAGGAGGAGGAGGAGGAGGAGGCGGAGGCGGAGGCGGAGGCGGAGGACCAGCGCTCAGAGTGAAGAGGGGCGTGGCCGTCCAGGGCCGCAATCCGCTACCCCTCTGGGGGGCTTTCCTGGCAAGCGAGGGCGACCTCGGAGACAGGCGGATGGCTCTCGTCTCGTGGAACGTCCCAGGCAGCACTGCCCCCACTCGGATTACCAATCTCGAGGTCGGTGGGGTTCGTCTCAGCCAGTTCTTTCACCGGCTGGGCCAGAGGGATCGGTGAACGCAAAACAATTGGTGAATTCGCGGCCCCCTTGGGATGTCTACCCTCCGCGGCTCTCTGCTTTTGCAGACGTCTACCGTGATAAGGGGGCTCTCCAGGACATTCGTCTGCTAGGCCTCTGGTGCTCTCGGTGAAGGCTCCACAGGTCCAGCACAAAATCAGGCTCAAGGGACTGAATTCGTCTTCGTAGCCAAAGAAATAGAGATTGTGGCCTCGCGGATTGCTCGCAAGGCTACTGTGAAACTCGCAGTAGCCAGGGCAGTCCTCTTGGTCACGTCTGGCCGTAGCTGCACTAGTAGCGCAACTGTGGCGGCAGGCTGCACAGATGAAACTCTTCCCCCGGGGGTGCCACTGATGCTTTCGACGCTGAATATCGGAGGCGAGAGGGGACCTCGGCGGAGGCGGAGGAGGTATAAGGCCCCACGAGAGGCCAGCCGACGCGGCCCCAGTGGGCGGGTTCAAACTCTGCATCGGTTTGTCAAAAGCTTTGGCACCAACCTTGGGGGCTACAGGTGGCCATAACTGCAAGGCTTCTGAAACGTATGTAAGAAACTTGACCAGTAGCTCGCTCTGGCCTTCCTGCAACTCGGTCTCAAGCTGACTCGGTTGGGAGGCTCTAGCAGCGGCGATCTTCGCATATCTGTCAGCTGCATCGTTGCCTTTGGCTCGTCGCCACTCAGGACTATACTCTGGGAGCTCATTAATATTGACGTGCGCTTTAATATTGTTTAGCCTTGGGCCCAGGGGGGTAGCGCAAGCGCCACCGAGGACCTTGAAGGCCCCGCAAAAATCGGACCGCGAGAAACTTGCCTTTCGGTGCACGTCTATGGCTCCTTGGTAATCTACAAATATTTGGGCGCGTGGGTGAGCATTGAGACCAGCAGCAAGCACAGCGCAGTGCTCAGCAGCAGGGGAGGAGGGGGGGAGGTATCTACCCACACGCCCGATGAGGTATGCAAACACGTCACCGTGGCCATCGATGGCCACCACTGACCACCCAGCTACGTTATAATTTTTGCGCCCTCCAGGTTTGAGACAGGATCCATCGGTAAAACATCTCTCCAGCAAGGGCCGCGCGAGGCTGCATCCAGGAGTCTCGACACCAAAACTCTGCATATGCGTAGCCAAACCCGTCAGGAGCCCCTGTTTCGAATTCAGGTTGGAACTGGAAACCGCACGCGACAGCCTGATCCTTCAGCTTCGAAATCGCGTCAAGTTCGTCTGCTGTGAATGACTCGCGCAACTGGGCACTGAGCGAGCAATGTAAAAGGCGGTGACGCAAGTCATCGCACGGGTGCCCGCACTGGCACTTGCCGCCAGAGTCGTACCCAGCTCGCTGCAAGCGCGCGTTGGTCCAGTTACTTTGGGTGAGAAAACTAAGAAGGGTGGATCTGGCTTTCTTTGGCAGCGTCTTCCCAGCCAACATTTTTCGGGCGATGCTGACGTCAAGGGTCTCCTGGGGGTAACCGAGATTCTTGGCGGCGTTCCTGGGGATGGCCTGCCCCCAGGCCTCTTGCATTTTCTGGGCAATCACTCTGGGAGTGCAGGTTGTGAATGGGTACCGATACCCATTCGCATCCTGCACCTCCAAACCAGAAACAAAACTCCAGCCTATCCGTCGGAGGGACAGACAGGCGGCCCCAAAGGGGCCTCGCTCGGCCGCCCACTTCCTAGGCTGGTTCAGAAACATTGGCTCGGCTAGGCTTTTCAGCTCAAGTAGTTCTCAGGGGTGGCTGGGTCCCGTCGCAGCTCGCCAGATCATGGTCGACCAAGTCAGGAAAGGGCCTAGGCCTGCTCGCCAAGTGGGGTCTCCTAGTGCCGCCAGACTTAAGGATCTACTTCTCGTCGCGCATCGGGGCCCCGCTACTTTCAAATATTCCGCCTGGAGATTCTGGAGCTCCTGGGGATCCATGCCGACAACCTCAGTGCCATACGTAAGGGCTTGCTGGGGCCCCGTCTTCCAAAGCTTTCTGGTATCGCCTCCAGCTATCTTGACCGCTCGTATTCGGTGTCGTCGTCGTCTATGCTTGACAAACGCTTGTACAGGGTCGCTTTAGCTACACGTCGTCGTACTCGGAGCCTCGAGGCCCCCGCAGCACTGTCAATCCCAATGTTGGTGGCGCTGTGGGCATCCTGGGGTCCCGTATACTTCCCGAGGGCCTTCCTAATTTGTCTTCGCAGTCTGGCGGCAGAAGCAATAACCTGAGCTCTGTGTAGCGCCAACTTGCACTCGAGCTCTTCCGTAACCAGCACTGCTAGCCTAGCCGCAGAGTATTGCAATTGTCGTACTAGGGCCTGGGGGTCTCGGTGTTGCTGCCCCAGGAATAAATCGTCAATGCGCATCTGGAGGTCCGTGCCCTTGGAGTTTGCTTCGGCCCAGGCGTCCAGGGGACTCAAACTGTAAACTTGTACCAAAAACGTGGCCCAACCAGCTGCAATGCCGCGTGCGGGGTGGTCCACCAGCTGGACCAAGTCTCTGGTGGCCACCAATCTCGTGCTACTGTACTGGTTTTAAAATGACCGTTCAGCAAGACGCTGCTAAATCCGGCGGCGTGGGCCCTCTCTATCAGCTTCTGGTGGCTGATGTGCTCATAGTAGTTGCTGAGGTCCCACAGCACCGCGCCTGAATGGAGTGGATCTTGGCAGGCCACTCCATTCTCAGCCTTGAGGCCCTGGCGAAAGACTATTTCGGTGATGCTCTTGCCCTCCTGGTGGGCCCAGAAAGGCCGGCGGTGCTTAGCCTCCCATTGTCTCGCTTCAATTTGTCGGACCTTGGACCATATTCGGTAAAACCCTGGCATCATCCCTATCCCTCGGAACTGGGCCATAGTCTTGGTCTCTGGCTTCGCTTTGGTCTTGGGGATCAAAACCGAGACACTGTCTGCAGCTGGGCGGGCATCGCACCTATCTTCTCGACCAGGTGCAAATATCGGCAGACCAGCGCAGCCTGCTCCAAATTCGGACTCTGAAAATGCTTCGGGTGGGATCCATCCCAGGTCGAAGCTGTCGCATGCGAAAAGCGTTTAGCGGCGTCTATGAGGTGCCGGGGCTCGATGGGTGGTAGAGAGGGCTCATGAGGGCCAGCGGGGACATGATAGTGGGGCCTGTGGTAGGTCGTGTCCCAAAGCTCTCCAAATCGAGGGTCTACCAGTCCAAGTGCCTTGACAGGGGGCCTCGCTGGGGTTCCACGCGTCTAGCATCTTAGTTCATCGGTGAGCCCGCCCTCCGTTTCCTTGCGTCCCAATATGCACCCACTCGCGCCAAGCTTTATTGGCAGATCGTTTTTCCAGGTCTATCTCGACATCGAGGCTTATTGATGGCCTCCAAAACATCGTCCAAAACTTCTCTCCCATGGAAAATCTCCAGGACCTTGGCCCCCACGTCCAGGACAAGGAAATTGAGGGTCTGGTGGGTAGTCTCTAAGCACTCGCGGAGCGTCTCTATCTCGCAAAACTCGTTCGGGGGGGCCCTCAAGGCACGCAATGAGATCGGTCGGGGCGTTGGCATCTAGCTTCGCGAGGGTGAAGTAGAACTGCTGCGCGACATTC